CACACACACAAAGACACACACACACAAAGACACACACACAAAGACACACACACACAAAGACACAAACACACAGTCAGGCATGCTTGGCCTGCTGCTACAGTGATGAAGCCCGCAGCGCTGCAAGTCGTTGGACAGCATCCTAGCGGCAGTCTTCTACTACACACAGGCACGGGGATGACATGAGGCATCCATGATTTGAGACTGCGTGGCAACCCTCGTCTGCTTTTAAAAAAATGTGACGAACGGTCTCGATGAAAAGGACATTAACGCGGAATGCCACCAGTCAGGTGTGCTGCCAATCACCATGCGTTGTGCACATATTGAACCACTTCACAAAGTAGGAGCACATCTGACCTGAGCTCGCCATCGTCCATTTTGGGGACAGCGTCACCAGGTGGATCATGACAAATCATGAGGCAAGCCTCTTCTGCTTGCTGCACGTTTACGGGTGAGACCGGTCTTGTGAAACCTTTCTGGCTGGCATGGACGGCCGCGGCCCACGAAGTCTGAAACGACTGAGTCGCCACTGTCACCGTAGCATTAAGACAACAACATATTTCGCAATTTACACCAATTCACTGCTCCATGCGACCGCAACGTAGACGGTCACCATTGCAGAAAGCTCAGTCATGGTGCTGTCTTGGGCCGAAGCTCCTCCGCAGAGCAGGCCCAGGAATGAACATGGATCAAAGAGGGAGTTTGGCTTGATCGAGGAGTCTCGAAGTGCTGCCTGTCGTTCGCGTGGATTCCTCTCATGCACTCAGCTCTGCCTGCGAGACGGTAGGCAAGGCATTCCAGGCTTTGCGGCTCCTGACAAGAAGGGCTCTTCAAATTCAGACGGCTGGGAAGCTGTCTCTTGGATCGTCCGGGGCCGAAGCTGCTGCTCTGCCCGCTGTCGGGCCAGCTCAACGGATCTGGTCGGCACATGTCAGCACACTCCACCCGTGCCAACAAAGCAATGATGCCTTGGCCGGTGTTGCGACGGCACCATCGGGGTGTCTGGTCGAGACGCCGCGATCTGGCGAGGACATGTCAACTCCAAGCATATCAAGCTGCTGAGCTGCTGCACCTGTGCCAGGGAAGGCGGTCCAGGAGAAAGTGAACCGATATGGCCTTCCGAACAGCGAAACTGCAAGGCTGCGCATGCCGAGTGCTACACCTGCTCGGCGTTATCTGTAACTGAGCCACCTTCCCAAGAATTCCACCACTGGCCCAATATCTTTGACTTCTCCTTGGTTTCAGCGAACTATTTGTCCCTGGCTGAAAGATGCTTTGCCCATCCGAGGGACATCAGTGAAATGTTTCTCGGAGATGCCCTTGACAGTACGGCTGGAAGCGACCTGGTGAAGGGCATCAAACCTGCAGCGGATTGGTGACTGTGGACTTGGGGTCTGTTGCAGGGACTTACAGCACAGGGCTTGGGCGTCCGCCTGCTTCTGGACTGCGCCATCGAATCAGCGACTTCTGCGCTGGCTTTCATCTCGTCCTCCCAGCGTTCGGAATGCAATGCTTGCCGAATAGATTTGGAGAAACCCACCTGCATGCGGTCGATTGCCGCAAAAGCATCAGTCTGAACTTCTTGAGCGAAGAGCGAAGCATTACGCACCTGCCTGGGAGTGCGGAACGCTGGTGAAATGAAGCCGACGCACGGCGTCTGGTGAGGAAACCGGGCACCACCGAATAAAGCACATGACCCTTCATGTCATGTAGTTTAAGTTGTGGCTGAGCTGCTCTGTGGTACTGCTGAAAAGTCGCTCAACCTGGGCCAGAGTATCACAGCTTCATTCAGTTTCCACGGCCCCTTTGCCCTACAACTGGCATACCAGCACAACTGTATGGCGGCCGTGGCCAATGCCTCGTTCTCGGCTGCCTCAATCAATGCGACTCTCTCTGCATCGAAATCCTGCAAAAGGGCGCCATCATTCTCCGCGACTGTCATAGTCTTGTCAGAAAGTCTACTAAGCTCCTTTTGCAGCTTGTCCAAGCTGCCTCGATTGGAAGCTGAATCAAGTTTATACTCAGATCTGGTCGCGCGATGCGGTAGGCAACGTCTCTGCAATCCGGGACACGGTATAATTCCTTCACCTCTTTCTCCAGGATTGCCTTGCGCTGCTCGATCTCTGCAGCTTTCTCGAACATGTTCTTGCCTTGGATAAGCCACGTCCACGACCTGCCACCTCTCTCACCTCTGCGAACTGAGTGTGGCAGAAAAGCTCATCGTTAGGCCCGTCAGGCACCGTAAGCCAGGCTGCACTCGCTGATGGCTGCGTCCTGGGCAGACAGGCTGGCGTTGAGCTCGTGCTCAGCCTTGCGAACCTCAGCCATGAGGTCGACACCAGCACCCAGCTCTTTGGTCGGGCTCAGTTGGACCAACATGGATGGCTGCAGGGCTACGAGTGGCTCTCCTCCGAGGCTTTTAAAGCTCGAGCGATGTCGAGGTATGGAAGATGCAGGACACCCTCTTGTTATTATTGCGGTAGGGACACCATGGCCGCCAAGCTAACATCATGCTCCTGCGCCAGCGCTCAAGACATGCTCATCCAGAGAGTGCATCAACGAGCACCACATGTGTCCTCTGACATTTTTGCCAATACCTGACAGGCTCCGGCACTCCCCTCCGAGCGGTCATCAGGTCTTGGCACACCAACTTGCACAACAACTCTCGCGAACACAGCAGCCCGAAACACTTCGCAGGCCTTCTCATGATTTGCGAGCATCTCTGCTCTGGTCGTGAGAACTTCTTCTAGTCGCTTCTTTTCCCTCGCGACCTGGCAGGCTGGCCCGCCGCCCGGACAGATCAGAGGAGTGGAGAGCTGACTTATCGCTGAAAAGGTCGTGCGGACCGACGGCACCTGCTTTTCACCCCTGTGCTCCGCAGCCAGAATTCCATTTTCGCCTTCCGGCACCAAAAACTGCCGTTGCACACGTCTGTAGTCTGCCGTCTTCCCCGAATGAATGATCTGCCAGGGTGCAATTGGCAATCTCCTTCCGTATCCTCTCTGGGGTGCAAGCCTGTATCAAAACAGAACTGTGTCAGCGAAACGCAGCAAAAACTAAGCCAGCAGCAATAAATACACTGATGACTGCTACTCTATTCTCGGACGAGGCTGTGGGAGTGACGATGGAGGGATCCCAGGACTGCGTCATGGCCTGCGCAGAATGACACAATCTAACAACAACAGCACACCCAGAGCACGGATGAAAGCCCTCCGCAAAGCGCTCCGAGGCTTGGGCGGTGGCCTGCTCCGAAATAGAGTCTTAGAGTCTGCTTCATTTCATTGGGCCCAGAGGCTGCGAAGTGTGGACATCATGGCAGATTCTCAACTGGCTATGCTGAGCAGATGTCCTCATGTCGAAAGCTGCATTGTGCGCGATCAAAGCCGTTTGCTCCAGCACCAGCGGCTCCTCGCTTGAAGCCTGCTGTGATGCGACATTTAGGATGCGGCAACAAAGGTGACGATGGCGAAGGCAAAACCCTTGCACCTTGGAGCCTGAGATAAATCGCAGGAAGTTCTGCAGAGCCCTTTTTCTTGGCGCTGCAGCCTGTGAGGCTGCCATCTTCACAAGTATGGCTTCCGAGAAAGGTCTTCCTGAGGAACCGGCAGTGAGCAGATTTTCACAAAGGCCATTCACTTCAGACGCTTTGGAGTTGATTCTCCGCGTTGGTCTCAAAAGACCTTCGAAGCAGTTCGAGAACAGACATCTCCGAACACATGTGCAGTGGTGTGCTTGGGGTATGCACTGTGGAATGACACTCCGGTAGAGCTCAAAGTTGAATAATTGGACGGAGGACCTCAGCGAAGCTTGCGTTGCAAAACCCGTTGACCCAAGCTGACATCTAAGCGTTTAGCAGTATCTTGGGCTGTGGACTTTGGAGACTTGGTGGTTGCACCTGCGCAGTCTCAAGCATGCGATGTGCGTGAGATCTTGCGTCCAATGTTTCACCCGCGTCAGAAGCGCAAGGCTTTGTCTCAGGTTACAGCAACCAGGAGAGGGGCCCGGGATCCGTGTTCCAGGATTTGTTGCTTGCAAGGGAAGCCGTGAAAATTTCGTCCTGGCAAGGGGTACAGGAGGGATCGGTGCTGAGTTGTACTGGTACCGTTTTGTAGTTTGGAGATGTGAGCACTTGTAGTATCCAAACGAACATGTGCGATTAATTCACGAAGGGAACACGCTTCCATGACTGTGAAGAATCATGCAGCCCATCTTGAAGCCTCTTAAAGAAAATTGGAGAAACTTTGACCCTGGCCTCCAGCTCAATGGCACCAATCTCCAAGATCTCGTCGTCGTTGCTGAAGCCTGATGTCTCTGTATCGAAGACCTCGGACTGAAAGCCTTCTCGGCTCGGTCAGCGAAACCTCGAAAACCCCTGAGGATCCGACCACCACGCGCGTAAATTTGGCAGGCTCTAATGGCAGCAGCCGCCACCAGTTCTGAGAGCAGCGGAACTTGCTTGCGAAAACAGGCCGTGTGATTGCATTGCTCAGGCATGCACGGCTGCTGTCATAGATTTGTGCAAGAGGCCTGCAGCCTCGGCAGGATTTGGCAGGGTGCAGCCCTTGCCACGTGTGACCCGAAGATGTGTCACAGCTTTTGCACAGCCCAAGGCACGGCTGGATTTTCCGGAGCTTTCGCTTCGTGTTCGGACTGCTGCGGCTCCTTAGCTCTCGCTTCTGGAGCAGTGGATCATGGGCCGGTTCCTGTCAAGCTGCCGAGTCTAGGTCTTATGGGTCCAAGATCCAGGGTCCAGGAACAGCAGTTGTGGCATATGACGATGAGAGGATGCAGATTCGGTCTCGGTGTCTTTCGCATTCTGTAGCTCCATATTTCGAAGGCACAGGGAAGGCTGTGAAAGACTAATGGCCAGGCAAAGAGCGATCGCTGTCCCGCTCACGGCTGGAGCGTGTGAGGATCCCATGCCACATTCTGTCTCGGACATGCATTGGCTGGATGTGAGGCAGTGACACATAATGTTCACGGCACAATGGATGCTCTGCTCCAGTAGGCGTCGGTGTAAAAAAAGTTGATCGTTGAAGCTCCTGTGCATCGTGCTGTGCTTTCATGTGCATGAGAAGTTGTCTGAGCCAGAAGTTCGAGCTCTCGTCCCCTAGTCAGCTGACTGCAACCCAGACCCAGGGCACCTGTGTCAAGAGGGAAATGGAGGCATGACGTGGTTCCGACACGGGAGCTCTCCCGTAACCTGAGCCACACTGTCGCCAGGGGTAATGCGGAGGCTGCCAAAGGATCGCACAAATGACCTGCCTTTCTTTTTGCTCCCTGACCCCATGCGCAGGCTCATGCTGACGCTTTCAGCTTGGCACCCCGACTTTTCACTGCGACGGTGCCAGCGTGTGACCATGTGCCATTACAGCCGGCACTCGCGAGTCGCGAGCACGTTTGAACAGCTCCGACTTGATCTACAAGACTACAGGAATGCCTATGAAAGCGCTGCGTGCCTTGCCGCACTGCACGATACTGTCATGGGGTGCTTGCAGAGCTTCCAGCATCGCGACGGGGTATCCAAGTATCCAGCTTGCCGTGGCAGGATTTGGCAGATGGGCATGCGGCATGAGTGCCAGTGTGCATGGTCAGGAAGCATATGTCGCGCCGACGCCTTCTGCGAGTGACCCGCGGACGGCTCCGACATCTGCAGGCAAGCATCAACTCGTCGCTATGTGGTTGCAGGCCTGTCCACAACATGGTCTGCAGCGCACAAAATGCCCCACAATGTGCGCTCGTCTCTGCTCGAGCAACCTGAATCACTTCTCAAGAGGAATTTCACATCCGGACTCTACCGCGAGCAAGCATGAACACAGTGCTAAAACATGCTAAAACTAGGACTGGTGCTGGGAGGAAGGCGAGCATCCCAAAACGCATCCACAGCAGCATCTCCATTTCGGGCCAAGGTGAATTTGGCTTCGCCCATACCATCCTCCGTCCAGGGTGCTTTCGAACCGAGCATGAGCACGAAGTCGTTGCAGGACTGCCGAAGCTCGGCTTGCCCTAGGAGCCAGCAGGACAAGCACAGGTGTCGAAGACGCCAGGCGTGCTGACCGCTGGCTGCCCAGCCTTGGCCTGCATGGGTGTCCTTGACAAGCTCTCCGCTGTCGGCATCCCAGCCCCAAGAGAGCAGGATGAAACGAACGACGCTGGCATGGCAGGCGATGTAATCAGCATCGTCTCGCAGCTCCCTAAGTGCCTCTGGGACAAGGGCCATTTCCCCATCTGGATGCAGTGCCGTGGCTTCGTCGATCGGCAAAAGCTCGTCGTCGTACCGAGAGTACAGGGGGCCGAACAAGAACCAACTTTCCAGGTCGGCCCAATGCTTCAGGCTGCGAGCAGTCACGCTGTCGGGCGCGGTGCCTTGGAACATCGCGTGACGGCACCGCGCCGCGAGTGTCCCCTCGTAACTGCCGTGCCCAATCTCCGAGATTTTGCTGCTGCGCCTGGATGTCCAGGTTTCAGGCCAGTGGAGCTCCACCGGGCGCTCTATGTACAAGAGGTTACTCGTAAATGGCACAGGGCTGTCGCATCGCAATCCCATGCGGCAGAAGGGAATGCATTGAGTCATCTCTGCTGCAGAAGGAGATCCCCAAATCTGCAGGAGCCATCCACTCTGCGCATCTCCCGAGGCGCCTTCGGCAACTTTCAGTTCATATAGTCGCGCTACGGAGATGGTCACAGATTTGACGGAATGGAGCTGAAGCTTCGCGCCCTTCTCGGACCACTCCGCCCTGAGCTGCAGAGCTCCGCGGATCTCTCCTCGAGGTTGCGGTGTGAGATGAGCCACGTCCGCGCCCTCCGTGCCGGATCCCGGGTGCGGGGCCCTCAGCATCACGCTCTGAGCCTCGGCCCCCCCGGCCCCCCCGGCCTCCCCGGCCTCCTCGGCCTCCTGCCCGTGCTGCCCGGGCCCGGGGTCTTCCAGGAGACCCGTACCCCAAACTGCCTCCCCAAGCTGCAGCGAAAACAGAAGGGCCGGCCGGGCCGGCATCTGCAAAACTCCCCCGCACCTCGCAAATATGCCAACACGGGGTTATCTCGTCCGAACAACTTCACACCACAAAGGCACGAAGCTCAAGTTTAGATTTTAGAGCTACAGCGGCCATATTGACCGTCCTTGATCTCAGATGGCAGCGTTAAAATGCGTCAGTGTAGGCAAGCGTTTCACGATGGCATTAAGGCGCAAGTTTATAAGCTGGGCACCCGGGTAGCCGCGGCTCTCTCCATCTGGCAGAGGCCGCACACCTGGTCGGCCACACGACATCGCGTGGCTTCTGCTGTCTTTGTCACACTTCGCAACTGTGCACCGGACAGGCTGCGACGATGCTAGGCATGACCCGCAGCTCGTGTGCCAACTGTGCTTGGCACAGGCCTCTCTCGAACTGTGCCGAAGCACACGCGATGCACTTCTTCTTCAGTCAATGATTCACAACTGTTTGCGGTCATTATGAAACACAAGGTGCATCCAAAAGGGCAGTACAGCAACGATGGAAAGCTGGGGCCATGTCATCTGCGAATGCACAACCTGCAACCGCCACAGCAACGAGAACTCCCTCGTCCGGACAATGCAACACTCTCACAATCACAGCTGTCATCAAGGCACACTGAGTCTAGCACACACTCCGTGTCCAAGACTGAACGGCTGGTCGGCCAAAGCTATTCATGGAGGCAGGGGCAGAATCGACAAGAATCTTTGGGCTCTTCTTGCAAGCTTGACGATATGTGCTCTCAACAGAGTTGCTGTCCGCATGAGCCAAGGATCAAGATCGGGCAGCGGAATCGTACTGGCACTAACGCTACTATACAGAGTCCCAGCGGGAAGCTCTCAGGCTTTCAGGCCTTAATAATTTGCAACAACACAGATGCTTCACACACTTATAGTACATTCCGACACGAGACGCTGAAGGTGTTGCGCTTCGCTCCGCACTGTCTAGAGCATCTCGGATGATCACAGATTTCAGAGGCAACTTCGAGAAAGGGAGGAATCGCGACAACGTTAGGAAATGTCTGAAGCCGCGAGTCGTGCTTCACGCAGTCCAGCGAGGAATAGGGAGCTCAGACTCTACATGCATGCAGACACAGTTCCTGTGTGTCAAAGCAGCAGCAGGGGACTGAGGTTGTGCACAACATCATGGTGTTTGTGCAGACTTACATTGCACTGACAAGAGATATGTGGTCTCGCAACCAGTACACGGTTTGTCTAGAGATTTCCACTTGCACCAATGCTTTTCAGAGATTGACGCTTGATGTAGGCAGCATTTCTCTGCACATTTTCTCTGGGTACACTCATGCCCACAGATCGACATGGGACATCAGGTTTCAGCGCAGCGCAGAGGAGCACCAGCACTTCTAGGACGGGGACTGGCTGGTGCAGGCGAGCGATCGGCAGGCACACCCGTGCTTGAGCTGCCAAGAGCTCCCTTGACAGCTCGGGCAGGGTATCGTCGCTCGTGAAACGCAGCTCATCGGAAATCGTAACCCGGATCGCATCGCCTGGGCCTCGGGACACAGCAGCTACAACCGCAGCCGGACTGACAGCAATGGATGGGCATGGACGTGTCCGAAGCCACGCGATGGGCGGTTCTTAGGGCTACACGGTGGACGATCATATCCAGAGGCCTTGGCAAGCACCTGCACCTTGTCGGGTGCCCGCTTTCAAGATGAAGAGGCACCATGGTAGAACTGTCCGGGTGGCAGGCAAGCTCCTCGAAGTCACCGTCCTCATCCTCGAAACAGGGGCGTGTGACTCTCAAGTTCTCTGCAACGCCATTAGGCAGCCGGCTGGGCCTCCATGATAACCTGCGCTGCCTCCAGCGGAGTGTATCGCATCCTTGAGCTGCGGAATGCTGTCACTTTCGCGTGTGGTCTTGACAGTGACCCATCAGGCCATCAGGAGCAAGCTCTGTTCTTTCCCGAATATGCGGATCGGCGCGGGCCTCTCACATCAGACATCACCGCCATCACGTGTTATTCTGTGTCGGTCTTGCAGAGCTGCATGCCTCTAGCAGGACCTCCACAAGCTCAAGACTTCCAGCCAAGGCAGCTAGCCTATCAAGGGCTCAGATCTGGAGCAGTTTGCACGCTCGGCCCGGCGTAGACGAAACACATCACCAAGCAGGAAGACAAGTAGGAAAGTCCCATATACACCATATACGGTTTTGACGTCTTACCTCCCTCCACCAGCACCCTGTCAACTCCCATCCTGATTCCACCATCTGCCTCGGGCTGACTGCTTCCCAAAGTCTACAACCCGACCATGTAGAACTGCGCCCTGGACAGTGGCACTGCAGTGCCTTACCACAGCACCCACGCTACCCTGAAATTTCAGAAGATATTCACCGCAGGCAGGTGGTTGGGCACTTTCGAGGAGGGAATCCACGGATCTTTGTATCAGCTTCAGCGGAAATTGCCCAACCGCCGACCGGGCCAAACGCTTTCTCTTGATGTCTTTGGGGCGTTTCCCGCCATCTTGCCCTATGGGTCAAAGCCGGGGTGAAGGCAGATCACGCCACAACATGCAGAAACATCAGTAGCCGAGTCAATACAAATAAATGCCGTGCGAAATCTTGCAAGCTCGACACATTCCACGGCAGAACCACACCCCGACAATTCAGCTCGGGGCATGAGAGGAGTCCTGCCGTGCACAGGGTCCTGGAAGTTCACATCCTTATTTGCACAGGCATTGCATGCTGCAGTTCCGATACAGGTCAAGAGCCCACTGTCTACTGCACCAAAAGTGTACAGTCTTGAAACAACTGCTGCGGCGTCCCGCAGTCGGCAAATATCCCTTCGACACTCTGGCTCTGCAATGCACCCTGGGCCAACTAAACTCGCTGCCGCCCACTGCAACATGCTACAAGTAGAGTCTGGAGCTCTCGCCGTGACAACAAAGGAATGCGCCGATAAGTCCCCGACACGAAAAAAACACGAGACAACTCTTGGACGTCAGTTCGACTGCATGGACTGGGCTCCACAAATCTTCCAGCCCTGAAATGATGTGTCATGATCGCACCAGCCACACCGAACTTCTTGAAGCGACAACCTGAGTTTTTGGCGAACTCGTGAGAGTGAAACTCCAGCATGTCCTGCACCCAGCAGACCGTCCCACAGAGCAACTTAGACAGACCCCTTAAATTTGCCTCCACGCGCTCCAGGCGGCCGGCTTCGACCTTTAAGCATGTCGATTTCTTTGGAAACGCTGCCCTCGTAGTTGCACCACTTGCCGGTTGAGAGCACATGAAGCACCAGTCAGAGTCAGTAAGGACGCAGCATGATCTACGAAAGCTTGTTGAATCGAAGATGCCTGCAGGCAAAGTCCGGGTGATCTCTCAACATTCATCTGGCTGTCGAAAGAAGAACAGAACCAGTTTAAGGGCATCAAGGAATCTAGGCATTCCTGTGAAGCTTGCCTTGCTGAACAGCTGTCTTTCGGAATCACTTTCCTCAAAAATCTGAAGCAGGTTCATCACAGCGACGATACACACAGACATCAAACAGAAGTTGCAGTCCTGTGATCTCCTCGCGAGCGCCCCGTTCTTGGAGTACCAACCATTCTCATCAACACCACCCAGTTGAAAGTCGAGCCTTTCCAGAAGGTCGCTTCGATTTGCTTCTGCCGCGTGACAGCACTGCGACCACCTTGCGCTTGAAGCTTCCACTGGCACCAGCGAGGCATTGCGAGACATGTCTGGTTTCTACCTGCACGATCGAGGCACAAGAGGTCTTGTATTGTGCGTCAGTCTCGGGGAGGCCTCACAAGCCTTCGGCACGGCGCTGCCACAGAGGCAATCTGCGACTCTGTCCGGCTACTTGCCATTCTCATCTGACGTGGATCTGTTGTACCACGGCCTCACAAACAACCTTGTTCTGCACCTCTTTTTCATCAGTGCTGCGCTGCACGTGGGCATGGTGTAAGTAGGTGGAAGACGTCGCTGGAAGATTACAGAGTTGATTGGGCCTGTCGCTCTGACATGTTCTGGTACGGCTAAGCGACTAGGCTCAATCTCCCTGGCAGTGTTTTTGTCTTGTGCTGGGGTTCTCCGAGCGGCCACAAGAACAGCAATTATAGGCAGCTTGCAAGTTGCGGGAACCTCTAGCAGCTCTAGCATAGCGGCAGAACGCCCACTGACCGTCTTTCAGCCGCGCCGAGCACTGCATCTACAAGGTGCATTTCAAGTCAGGATAGTCCTGCAGGTACCATTGGTGTCTCAGGAGGACCTACCAGTTTTGCTGCACGGCGAAGCGAGTGTGCAGTCCTTGCGAATCTGTTCGAAATCGGAAAAGAACTTCCTGAGCTTGGACAAGCTTAAGTCAGACTGACATCAAAGCAACTTCAGGCACCGGATACATCATCTGTCTGGTGGCCGAGTCGCATGTCATGAAAGAACGGGTTCGGAGCTGGCTGCGCGACTCTATCGGGATCGGCCAAATATGCCAAGGCCTTGTCAATGTGTGCTGGATCCTGACAAGAAATGCTGCTCTTCATGGTTGAATCCTGGCATCCAGCCCCCGGGCATCCTTCTCCGCATGACCGAAGAAGAAGGCCACAGGCACGCCTTGCCAGAGGAAGGGTCGGCCTTTTTGTACATAGGGTAGCAAAAGCCACTCAAAGATCCTTCATCACACTGTAGTTCGGTTCACCCATTGCGCCTTTCGGGAAGTATCTCGAGTCGTCGTAGTATGGATACGGTCCAGGAGGATGCTGGGCGTCAAGGTTTTCCCACAGGAAGTTAATGCCGCCTCTCAAAGAACCACCGCCCAAGCATGGAGACCATCAGCTCACGTGTAGACGGCAAGGCAAGTACTAGTATGAGGCAACACCCAGCATCCAAGGTGAGCGCTTAGCGGCTGAAAGTGGACACGATGTGGCTGCTTCATGATACTTCATGCCATTCCACAGTACTGTAGACAGTCCAAGTACGTCATGGCAGACAATCGCGGAGTGCGCCTGTCTGAAACGCACCTCGAAGTCACAAGGTCAGGACTCAGGACGACACTGCACTGATCAGCTTTCTCCAACAATACACTCGGATGGAGGTGCATTTGTAGCTCAAACCTCAAAGCCAAGCGGCACCACGCCTTTGTAGCACCCTCCTGCCTCGCAAATATCTCGACATGAGAGATGTAGCCCTTTACAGCGTTCTTACTCACGCCTGCATGCTCCGGTTAAATCATCTGCATGGCTCGGATGTATTCATATTCGTAGTGTACAGTACCTCACGCCCGCGTGACAACCGGTAACGTATATGTCAAACTTTGGACATCAGGTGCATTTTCATTGTGGGCATGTTGTGGACGAGGTATTACGACGTCATGTCGAGGTCAGTCCACAGGCAGATCAGTCATGTGCACTGACAACTCCCGAATGGCCACAAACCCCCCGAGAGCTATGCCCCTTGCCCTATAGTCTTCAACTGGGGCGTGTACGGCCTCCACTAGTACCGAACTTTAGTTCAACCACGCTTCCACAGCGCCACGTTGAGCAGATCCTCGTCTTCCTTGATGTACGATGTTGGCACCCCCTGCTCCTTCCGTCCTCACAGAGCTGTAGCGGATTGGCAAATGCCAGCTCGCCAGGACGAGACTGAAACCTTGCCGTCTCTCCTGCGATCTTTGCAGACAGCCAGCGACTTAGGAACGGCAGTGACCAGTACGTCCAGGTCGGCTGGGCCTACAAATCAAGGTGCGGGTCGGCGGATGCCAGCGGCGAACAGCATGGGCAAGGACAGGGCCTGTCCCCATCGCATGGTGGGTGTTGGACAGTCTTTGCAGGTAAAGCCCAGGAAATTGCCCTGAATGACAGATGATGCCCACAGCACAAGCTGGCTCGCGTCTGCAAAAACAGCACCTTGTGAGATGTCCTGGCGGCTTCTCTGTCACGGACATCGCGGTCAAGAAAATGGGTTGGCATCATGGGATATGGATACCTGCGAAAAAGCTCGACAAAGCTGCTCGCACCCCTTCAAACACAGATCACCTGCATGCATCGAAGAGGCTTCTCTGTGATTTCCTCGGCGGTGCGATTTAGAAGACGATCCGCCTGGGCTGTGACCATGAGCATGTCCTTGGCTTTGGAAGCTTCTTCACATCTTTAGGTTGCCAGGGCCACAGCAGCTCCATGCAAGAATGGCGTTCGCACCAAGCCAAGCATCGGAGTCCAGGGAAGCTCCAACTTTAACCTGAACACTCGAGGCGGCAAAGACTGTCGGAACAGATCCCTGCAAGACTATGTGAGGGTGGTGCCTGTGCCAGCAGGACTGCGCGAAGCTTGTTGAAATTGAACGATATGGGACTTGTTGGCCTGAGGCCTCGTGCATGTAGCAGCCTTGGACAGGAGATACATGCACGGAACAGAGGTCACATGCACGCAAGATGTTGCTTTTGAGCTGACTTTGCTCACTGATTCGAGCTATCTCAGCAGATGCCAAGCAACACAAGACTGGGAAATCGCGTGGGATCTAGGTCCTCCGGCGCCTCTGTTGCTGGCAACCAAAGCTACGCCATTGGAGTGCACCTTACCACGCCCTTTGCAGACGCCTTCGTCCCGAAGTTGACGACAATCACTGGATGTTGAGAAAAACGATGCACGGAGTCGACCAACCTTTCCTGACATCGCATTCTGCAAAGGCGTGCCCTGTACCGTCGTTATTTCATGATCGAGGTGCCGTCAGCTGTCCGAAGATGCCTGGCAGTTTCGTTTGGGGCGGGTCACTCAGGATGGTCCACCCTGAGCACCATGTTTCTCGTTCTGCGCTTAACAGTCCGGCGGTGTCTTGTTCTTGTGAGCTCAACAGCAGGTTTGCTTTTGGAAGGTGTGCTCCCACGCCTTTCCCATCTGCAGGCACTGCCACATAGTTGACCCATGCAGCATCTGCCCAGCCATCAGTGTTGTAGACCTATAAGTGCATCGTGAGGACGGCCGCGCGCAGGCGTCACATGAGATGGAAAGGATCCAACTGGGGCACGTGCACTCTTGTAATTTGTTCGGAAGCGTCGATCTAAGTAGACTTCCATCAAAGGCAGATTTCTGTCGTCCTTATGTCACAAGCTGCCGAGCAACGCTCAGGAAGTGCAAAGACAGCATTGCATTGAGTCTGACGCTTTGCAGAGGTTTTGCCACGCTTCCTCCAGCTTCATGTTCCTGCTTTCCAAAATCCGACGAGGGTTTCGGACGTGACATGCAGTGTCTCAGTGTGGGGAAAAATGCTGTGTTGGTGAGTTTCGGGGATGAAATGCAATGGTGAACACGAGCTTCGATCAAGAGGACACAGGGTACTGATACAACCAGCGCCACGCTAACGACGTGCTTGCCAAAATCTACTACGGTGTCGTGGCCCCATTTCGGTCGAAGCACGAACTGCTCCCGGACACACCGCCCCATGAACCGGTGGTGCCCGTCCGCCCGGCCCGCAGGGCGTCGTCACTTCTACCAGCTAAATCCATCAGCTTCTCAGCCCCGGTAACAAGCGCAGTCGCCGCTCTGTATCCAGCGGCCGTGCTGAGGACACGAGTCGCGGAAGGGCCAGGAGTGCCGAGCGCAGACCAACGGAAAGTTTGTTCGGGGACAGGGCAGAGGTATCCGACGGCCGTGATGGCCGCCCTGCCGCCCGAGGCTCCCCGCCAAGCGGCACGGCACGTCCGTGGAATTGGTGATGGGCTTGTCCTCGACGTCAGTGATCGTCCACAAAGTGGCCAGGAGTGTTTGGTCGATCATCTCGACAACATCTTAAAGTTAAACCGCACATGGCGAGATGGAACCAGAGCGTGGTTCTCGTAGCCGAAGAGGTCGGCCCTCTGCTGGGCCTGGGCACAGAGGCCGCAACTACGGCTGCGCACGCTCATGCACACCCGATCCACTGCCGAGGCGAGTGCCAAACGTGGCTCACCAAACTGGCGGTGCATTAGCCACGCGATGCCATCGAAGGCTGACAGCAGGATGACTTTGGCCCTGTCACGCGGCAGGTCGTGTGCCTTGCCCTCTGGCGCGGACCCGTGCTGTCCCTGCCCCTAGTGCCACTTTGCCCGCGCCGCGGCCGTCCTTGCTGTCTTGGCGACGTTAGTTGATAGCCCGCCACGTCCTTGATGAAACTGACAGTGATAGGCGCATGGACGTGGAATCCCAATACACCACCAGGGAAACAATGTTGATGGCCCGCGCCTTGGCCTTATCTCCCACTAAGACATTTACGCCAGACCAGTGAGCACCCACGCCCACTGGACGGCCTCGACATAACTTCGTGTTGCAGCGACCAGAGAGCCCCGGAGGTCGAGGGCGCCTGAAGAGGACGCGTGATGCCCCGTAGCAGCGAGGTGTTAAACTCCTCGGTGGCGTGCTTTCCCAACCCGCCAGACGAGGGGGGGCGTAGGAGCCGACATCGAAGCAGGCCCCACGGCGATGTCCAAGCCAGCCGCCGCCAGGAAGTCATGTCCAAGCACAAAAAAGCGAAGGGCGTGGAGAGTCAAACTCAAAATCAGCGGTCGAGCCGGTCGACCGCTGTGCTTGTTCCTACGTGCGCTACTCAACAAAGTTTCTTGACTTGCATCCAGGAATACTCATGAAGAACAAGCAATTGAAATAAGCAAATCGATGTTTGCACTCGCTCTACTGTTCGCGACCAAGCTGCCATGCTTCATGGCGCTGCCTGGCAGCTACCTCCAGCAATTCTGCATGTTCGGTTCGAAAGCGGTGGCATCTCCGATTTTCACTTGAATCATGATACTTCGCTTTCGCATGTCATCCGGACCTTGGAGCACGAAAGCAGCGGCTCTTCCTCTGCTTGTTCGCAGAGAGTTTCGCTGTTCTGGCGTCTGATGTTGGTCGAACCTGTGACGGACATCGCTGCCAAGCTTTCACAGGCACACTGTGCGAGTGGCCCAAAACCCTATTGCCTGCGATGGCCGCGAGCAGAGAGAGCAGCAGTAAAGCGTGTCTGTCAGGATAAAACACAGCGCAGCAGGCCGCCACCCACGACGCACCACAAGACTCCCCGGGCCTTTGTACATGAAGGGCTACATTGCTGGAACGCATGGCAGGAGGTGAACCGTGAATGGCATGAGTGGAACTCTTTGAGCCAAGAAGACCTTCAACGCAAACTGTCCTGGTGAAACGTCTCAAGCACTACCTCGTCAGACGTGTTGGTGCTTGCGGATAAATCGCGGTGCATCATGCCCATCCATAAAGATGCTTTTCGGACAGGGCGAGCTGCACTTGCCGGGTCAGCTACAACTTCAAGCAGTGAAACGGTAGCAGAAAAGCAAGGCACACATAGAAAAGCACAAGGCAGAGGCCATCTTTCCAGAAAATCCGGGTACCCGGGTAGGGAACCACGCCGCAAACTTCTGCTGAATCCAATCCGAGCCCATCTGGCCTCAAACCATGAAGTAGCTGCGGTGCAAGTTCCACCAGCTACCCAAGCACGATTAAGTAGCGCACTAGCACTGGCCGGAGCCACTTCGGTAGCGGCCGAGAATCGGATCACCTGCAGGAATCGAGCTCACGAGCTGCACCCGCAAGGATTTCTTCAGAATGCCAACCTTGTAGATCTTGTTGCAGTAATAGTGGTAGATTCGCTTCCCCTCGTGCGGCGGCTTTTCGGGTCCGAAGAGGGGTGGCCTGGGCAGCTCAGGACCGCATCACTCTGCACTAACAGTCAAAGTTGCAGCGATGCACCGTCTGTCTGCCCTGTAACCAACGCGTCCCCGATTTTGGCTATTGACCTGAGCTGCTGCACCACTTATCTGCTGCCTTTGCCATCATGCCAGAACATCCCCATCCGATGATATGGTCTACGGAGGGAGCCGCTGGGTCTCTCTAAACTTTGGTCCCTGGCTGCTTTGCGCCATTTGGCTCGGGACTTCAATCTCCATCCCTTCTTGGCCATCAACCTCAGCGGGCGGGCAGGCGGCCGACTGTGGCTCCAACAACGTCAGGCAGGAGTCCGGCGTAACGAGTGCGAGGCCTGCAGCACTTGGGCAGCAGCGGTATCACGTCACACTGGCTAGCAAGACAGACTGAGAACTCTGACCCATAGCACATCCCGGGACGGCAACGGTGCTTGCGAAATTGTACCTGCAAAGCAGCTCAATCTTGCACCACCCTCGAAGCACGCTGACACAAGACTTTAAGGACAGAGCGATTGTCCAACAAATCGGCTTTCGGCACCTCTCTACACAGTCATGATGACTTTCCAGGAGGAGCGTGCGCCGGCACGCGCAGATGTTTGTGGCATGTCTTCGTGGCGTGCGTGCATCCCAGAGGCACCATCAACTATCTCGCCACGCACTGGCTGAAAGCTCGGCGAGTGCCTAGCAGATTCCGAGGCTGAAAGGAGGAAAGTGCGCTGCTGTAGCACTCTTGGAGCAGAACCCGCGCAGGGACGAAGGCTGACCTTGCCAAGGCCACTGCTACAAGACCAAACCTCGGAGGCCTCGTCTTCGTCTTGGGCCGTGGCTAAACGCTGCTTCTCGAGTCAGGCAGAAGACCGCGGCCAAGGCCGCCTCGCGGAGAGCCGACCACCTATGACGACCTCTCTTATGACCTCTGGCGCTTCTGACGCCAACTTCTCTCGTTCACTCTGAGGCAACCGCGGCCGCACACAGAAGCCTCATCCTAGCGGATGCATGTCAACAAATCAAGCTCGAATGTGGATTGCCCGAAAGACGAATTAGGCGACCATGGCCTGGGAGTAGGAGCGTTTGATGCGCTCTTCTACCGTTGCACGCTGGCGAGCCAGGAGTAGCACATGAAGATTGCCGCATGTATTGACACTGGCATCAAGGATAGTCGGATAGCAGCTGTACAGCTGATTTTCCGTGCGCACGGCAACATCAGAAACGACACAATCAGCACGGTGAGACCCAAGTGACAACATGTAACTGGCTCCCAAGCCACCCGCTACTTCCTGATCGTGTTTTGAGGCTAGTTCAGCTTTGCACAGACAGATCTGGGCTGGGTAGCCCGCGCAGCTCGACACAGGCAGTGCAGCGATTCAATGTGACCTTAGTCGCACGAGTGAAAGTGTCGGATCGCAGTTCTTGTCCACGCAGACTATGTGTTCCCAGCGCTCTCTGGTTAAGAAATGTTAAGAATCTAATCCCCCAAATGGTTGCTGGCCCTCGGCTTCTCCAGCTAATGGTGCCATTGTCGGCAGCAACAGGCTCTTCTTTTGACGCCCACTCGCAGCAAAGCTCGTTCAGAGTCGTGCCCGTTGCCATCATCCTTGCAGAGCATGGCGCCGAATTGGCTTCCGCATTGTCAGCAAACTCAAGCAAGTTACAACACTTCCAGGCTGTTGTCAACATCACGTGGGCCTGCCATCGTCTAGCGCAGCCGGCGTGCTTCTCGCTCAGTCTCCAGCAGGGCCAAGATGTCACCTATCTTAAAACGCAGATTCGGGCTGGGATTGATGCGCATTCCTCTGAGGTTGCAGCCCTCACG